ACTTTCTTCGTCTTCAGAAAAGTCTTGAATAACAACCCTAGTGGTCTCATTTAAAAATAATGGAAAAATTACTGGGTAATTCCTCACAAAGCAACAACAGGAACACTCTTTTTTTGTACCCTTATGCTGATTTTAAATCCTCAGTACACCATTTGTATGTATGGGTAAAACTACCATGGTAAACAAGGGCTATTTTTGATGAAAAGGAGGTAAAAAAATTACCACAAGATTTTACGCTCACACTTTTGATAAATGGGAAACTTTCAAGTCCGTGAATAAAAAGTTTACTTATACTTTGCGCCGCGTTGATCCAGTTAGTTGGGAACGTCAGTTTACCACAACTTTGTGCACATTTTACACGCGGCTTCGGTGTCGCATCCATAACTACTTTAACTGAACACGAATGAACCTTGACCATTTAATCTTTTTGAATGCACATAGTCCATTCCTTCCTTTGTTCAAAGGTCGCGCTTACTGAAAAGCTGATCTATAAAAGGCTTATTTTTGGCACAAATTTTCTACCCAAGTCAAAGTATGCACCACTTCTCCTGCGTCTTCCTTTTTGTCGCCGCTCTAGCAAATTCGACGCCCATGAGTCCACCCCATCCGGGCTTTACCGAGGTGGAGCAGAGAATGATTACAGGATTGCTGGAGAAACACGAACTACGTGACATCATCCGTGTGATGCTGATGGTGGAAGAGAGGCGCTTTGTCAAAGAGCCCACCGCTCCGCCCTCGAAGGTGAGGGAGACCACGATTATGGGTAGTGTACCGAGACCAGGGCTCCCCATTAGTAAAGACTACGAGCTGGCAATGCCAAAAAAGGAGGTTACAACTCCACCCCCTTTCCCCCGCCGCAGATTTTATGATGAGGACGTCTGGCAACAAACAATGGCTGAAATCTAATTAACTCATCACTGTCTTCATGTATCGACCGCCGATCTCTTTCTTTTAAATTCTCTTCCTCTTATGATTTATAAAATGACTTTATGAATGGAAATGGCATCCGGTAATTTTAAAGTGAATTATTAAATAAAGTGCGCAATCTCAAACTTTTACAAAACCTTAACTATTTGAGATGTTTTATTCGGTTGGCTAAAGCCAAGTATATCATGACAGATGAATAGGATGTCTATTCACATAAATTTTTGTCTTAAGCATTTGGTATGCTCAGAATTGTCAAGCGGATGCAGACGGAAGATTTGATTTCCCTCTAAGTGTAAAATAAGACATTTGTACTTTGGCCACACGGTTCAGCAATCTTAGGTTTCACATGTATATGCAGTGCTATAGCGCCCCAAGATTTCCCAGAAGAAGAAGGGAGACACGACACTCGGGCAGAATTTATATATGTATACATATTCAGCATACGGGGTGGCCTGATGCTACTGGTATGGCAAAGAGGCTAGCCCGTCCGACGAAAGTACAATGGCCAAGACACAACTTGACTCCTCCCAAAACTGACAGTTAAGCATACAACCAACGTATTACAGTGAAAACCATGTTCACTTGTGGTTATAGGGGATTTTCAAATGAATTAATAATTCTTTTGAAATGGTTTCTAAAATAATTAACATAATGGTCGTGAGATAGATGGTTATAAAATGTTTTGGCATATATAGGTCTGAAGTTAAGAATAAACTCCAATCTTCTCAAGACTTTTATACTTCCAAGACGGCAAGCACACGCATTACGATTCGTTGCGATTTACGCCTCCACTGATCACACAAATTTGTGCACGAAATCCATCCTTCTGCCTCCTCTCTATCATACGCAAATCAAAACCTGTTTAGGACCTATTTAAGCTGTGGGGTCAATAGAAATGAGTAGAAATGATTAAAATGAAGGTTCTTGCGTGCACATTTTGTTTTTCCTTGCCACTTTTTGGATGAAAGTAGTTTGGTAACACCTACAATCATAGTTAAAGACGCCAACTCGAAATCAATTGACGTGAGTCGCCAGCACGATGCTGGTTCCGAGCTGGCAGTAATAAAGGAGCTGCTTCAGTCAAAGCAGCTGATACTGGACTTAGAAACCTAATCTGATTTTAAAAGAAAGGTGTGAATTGTTTTAAAAAAGATCACTTCTTTAGAACAGTGTAGGAAGTAGACGATGAGATGTCTATTCCCCTGGCGCCCCTCTTAGTAAAACTTCTTCAAATTTAAGCAATGACTTAACCAATTCTCCTTAAATAAAGTGACTTATTTGTGCACTTTGCAAACAGATCTCCAAATATAAACATTGATATTTATGAAATCACCTAAGACTCCCGTCATTACAGCAGGGGCTTCCAGCCTCCCATCACTTACCTATGCAAGTAATGAACTGTTACCTTACAGCGATGTGTTTCAATAGTCCCTCAACCACAATACGAAAAGCTAGACCTCGATGCTTTTCTGGGGCTGTACTACAACCTGTCAGTATGGATAAAAATTATTTTTAAGTGCACAGAAGTGCCAAGAGGCTTTCGACTAGGCTAAAACCACACAGCCAAGTATAGACGAAACTTACAAAATGTAAAAAGCCCTTGTGAATATGTAGTTAAATAAAATACTAGAGTACGAAATGGATATTGTAAGTGTAATACGATGGCTGTTTATCTCGCGGCATTGGGGAGCCACTTTTGACTGGGCCTTTGTACCACATCGGATGGGCTGGCCTTCGGGCCATGCCAGTAGCCCAAATACCTTCTCTGCGTTAAACATATATTCTTTCCAGTAATTAAATCTTCTTTCGCCTTCAAGGAAGTCTCGGAATGCCACAGTAAGAGCTCTTAAGGCAGTCAGTCCATAAAATTTACTAGTGCCTAATTTTGGGTATAAAGCGCACGTTTGCAAAAATTGGAGAAATTATATACGAAGACTAAATTTTATGTGAGTTTGGCCCATAACGACTTCAAGTAACAAGAGAGTATTTGGGTCATGTATATAATTCATCCTCACAGATATTACACAAAGTTAAGTACAATTTCAAGCTTGTATTACAATTATGCCAGAAGATTCGATTTTTTCTAAATTTAAAGATATTAAATAATTGTGCTGATCATTACATTCTTTTGAATTTGTATAATATTCATTTACTGAAGGTCACCAACCTTAACCACTGAAGACGCATTTTAAAATTGGATGAGGGTGGTGTCATTTTAACAAGGGAGGCAAACACGTGTTAATTTACTCGCTTAGAACCCTTGTAATGTGACTCGGTTATTTGCCTTCTTAAAATATTATTGATGGTAGATTTGTTGGTTTGAGATGCGGCAGATTTGTTGCTTTTCAACAGATTACCATTCGATATGTTGTAAGAGGATGGTTGATGCTCTGCGTAGTCAATCTATTATTGCAGATTTTTGATGTTTTGGTATTTTTTTTCTGTAAAAGTAACTGCATGCCTTCTCTACTGTTGTGCTTTCTCACCACGACTTTAATGGATTGAATAAATGTAGCATGCTTAGTATGGGTTTTTATTCCTAGTTTGTAAAACGAATGACGGATATTGAAATTTACGATGTACAGAACCCACTTGCGTACGTTCTGTTTTGATTAAGGTGTTTTAAGCGCCAATATCGTTGTTTTTAAGTTAAATTCTTTAACTTTAAGTGATAACCGGGATGCGGATTCTATGGAGTCTGTAGAACAATTGAATTATCTTTTTTACTGTCCGATTCCAATGTATTCTGGACAACCGTGGATGCACGCAGGCAATTTGGTTCCTTTTAAGATCCCAACGAGAGCCCCGAAGCCACGATTTCTGTTGGAACATAAAAAATCCGCGTCAAATGATTTTGTGTCTTCGAATTTCACTGCAACAGACAGTCAGCCAAAACTCTTACAGATTGACTACAGCTTAGATCAAGGATTATTAAAAGAAGAAATAGAGTATCATGAAAATACAGAAAAGCCATTTTCCGAAAACAAAGGTTGCGGTTTGGAGAAATGCCATTATCTTTATTCGAGCGATGAAAATGTAGAAAATCTAAAGCGTGAACCTAATAAGTCCTCAAAAAGTTCGAAAATTAGCCTGATGAAATCAAATTTGGATTCTGAATATGATTCTGAGTCTGCAGAATTTGATATCAACGTAGAAGACGATAGGGACTCGGACGAAGAAGTTGCTATTTCTGTATGTCGTGGTAATACTATATTGTGTTAGTTTTCGCTTTTATAGTTTTTTCAAGCAATTCTGCCCCTATCATGTGCTTAAAACATATATGTAATTACCGTTTCGTAGAATTTAACTGTTTAACAGCCAAACACCCACTTCCGCATACTGTTTTAATGTATAAGTGATGTACATCTTTCTAAATCGTTTCCCTTATCCAAATAAAGGTTTATATTGTTGCTTTTAGAGCGATAATAAATCAACTTCGAAACCTCAAACGTTATCTCCAATCATAATATCCCTTTTTCCTGATATACCACCATTTCTTCGGTTTGTCAAGGATGACGAAGCAGGTTGTAGATACTTTACAATCACAATG